TTAGAAGGGAAGCCCTGGGGGGTGGGGGGGTTCTTGGGCATTCCCAAGGGACCAAGGAGGTGTTGGGGGGCCAGGGTAGCCTTTGAGAGCCCACATGGGGCAGCCCTGGGGGGTTCGGGGTGTGTGGGGGGGTGTTGTTGTGGGGCTGGGGCAGCTTGGTGGGTCAAATGCAGACACTTCCTCCTTCTTATAGCAAAAAAAAAAAAAAAGTATTTGTTATATTCTGAGCGCTTTTATAATCAATCACACATGAATTACTCAGAAATACACCCTAAGTGTGGGGAACAGCAGAAGAAAAACGGGGGGGAGGGGAGGAAGCGAGCGCAAGCACATCCTCCACAAAATCAGTTTTAAACCAAGGTAGCAGCTGGTATTAATGCAAAACCTGCAAAAATTAAGGTTTTTATCTTGAGTTGGATGCCCAGCCAGCGACAGGCATCGAGGTCAGTAAAGGAAACCTTCCAAGGGGGCTGAATTTGGGAAGAAAGCCCAAGTTTTCAGCTCAAAACCAGCTCGGTGCAGCCCAGCTGCCGTTAATGAGCTTTGTGGATGAATCTGAGCTGCACCAACCTCAAACCCTGAACCCCCTGGCTATGACCCAAAATAGAGACATCAAAGATGGAGGTAGGACCGTGAGATGAGGTAGAAAATAAAGCATTGAAGAGCATCAAGGAGCATTTCCAACCACCGTGGAGCAACCAACTTCGGGGGGACCCCACCGACACATCAACTTTTGGGGGACAGTTTGATGGTAGAGAGGAGCACGCAGAAGTAAGGGAAGACCCTCTCTCCACTGAAGGAGGCCACGGGGAAGGTGAAGATGTGTTGACGACTGCCAACGGCGTAGAAGGCGACCAGTCCCACCTCATAGTCCAGGTAGACCCCAATCTCCCCATTGAGGAGCGGGACGAAGGTGTTGGAAGGAGCCGTGAGGGCCACACAGAGCTCGTCGTACTTCTGCAAGCCCCAAATCTTGGTGTTGGGCTTGAAGAGGACCCGGCCTTTCCGCTGAACCGACTCACGGGCCACCCCGATGGCCCAGAAGCGCCCGTTTACCTCCACCTCCCAGTAGTGACGGCCCGAGGTGAAGCCCTCGCTGCCCAGCATGCAGGGATCTGTGTCGAACTGGCCCGGACCCTCAGGCCACCGGCGTCCAGGTCTACCCCAGGTGGCCTCTTTGAGGTCCTCGGAGAGGATCACCTCGGGACCCGCCGTGGCTGGATCCAAGGTCACATCCACTGGAGAGAAAAAGAGAGAAGGATTCAGAAGCCAAATGTCAGCATAGAGGACACGACCCCCCCCC